AGCGCCCGCCCGCCCACTTTTTGGCAAAAGCTAAGGACGCTAACCAACTAGTTTTTTTTATATGGCCTAATTGATAAATAATGCAGAGTAAATAATGATAATTCACTCAAAAATGTAAAAAAATAGTGAAACCTTCTTCTGCACCAATGCACTGGGATGAATATTTAAGTTTTTCGGAAAAAATCCTTAGATTTTCTTAGATTTTTTCTCTTCCTTAGATTTTCCTTTTGGACCATAGAATTTCCTTAGAAAAGGAAATTTCCTTGAAAATGGAAGCACTGTCCGGAAGTAACATGTGCCGGCACAAAAACTTCAAAGGTTCCGACTCGAGTAAACCTTCTGCCCTTCTCTATTTTGTGCACAGAAGTACAATAATATGATACATATGCTCGTTTATATATTGAACAGAATATTCGACACAAGTCTGAGCCTTTGTATGAAAGGATATTATATTTCAACAACAACATTTTATATTGCGCCCTTAAGAGTTTTAAGAGAAATATGTCACACTAAAACGAGTAGTAAAACATCACCACCCCAAGAAAGTTTGAACCAGCCATATACTGGGTACTTATTTGTATTTCAAATATTTTTCTATGCGTGGGAAACTAAAGAGAAAACACAAATCAATGTTGAATAATTCAGACATAAAAACCCGCAATAGCGAGCTTTATATATTAAAGTTCAAAGGTCGCCGCATATCGCATATGATATATTATACTATACAACGGCCAATTGTACAAGAAAAACTAATAATTTACTATCCCTGCTGGTTGCTACAATCTAACATGATCCAACAGCTCATATTTATTCAATTTCAGTTTCATTCGAACGCTAAAACACACTAAAATAGCAATACGCTATATATGTTTAATCGCGTGCGCAACTCGCGCGGAGATATCAAGTCAAGCGTGGGCAGAGCCAAACAGCTTAGGTACAATGTTCAGAGCCTTGATACCCTTGATAGATTGGCTGATGTAAAAGGGAATGTTCGGGCAACATTAGATAAATTAAAGGGTATAAAAGCTGATCTTGTTCATGGAAAGGAGGACTGGCAAAACTGGGGATATGAAGACCTCCTAAAGGCCCTAAAAACATGGCGTGAAATCAATCCAATAGAAGAGAAATTAGAGCCACAACAGCGCAGTGGGAAAGGAAAAGGTTACTCAAGGTTCTACCATACTCAAGATGCAGAACAGAAATCACGGCGACCAGAATGTGTTTACTGCGAAGAAAACACACATAAAGGGACAAACTGTTCGAAAGTCAAAACTCGAGAAGAACGAAAGAAAATTCTAGCTCAAAAGGGACTGTGCTTTAATTGCACAGGGGCACAGCACCGTGCCAGTGAGTGCAAGAGTAAGTTAGGATGTCAAAAATGCAAACGGAGACATCACACATCAATTTGTGATCAGGTGACGGAACAATTCCTCGGAGCTAGTAGTAGTACAAATGTTATTCATCCAGTGGTTATTGTACAAGTAGGTGGGTTCATGTGTCGTGCTCTATTAGACACTGGTGCAGGGAGCTCCTATGTGTCGGCTGCATTATCAGATCAGATTCCCAAAAGATGCTCCAAGAAAGAAGTAAGGAAGATTGACATGATGCTTGGAACAACAACAAGAGAGGTTGAACTATCAACTATTCAAATTGGGGGGCTCACTGGTGATTTTTCCTTGTCGGTGGAAGTAACTAAAGTTAACAAGAACGAACTGTTACTTTTGGATAACCCAAGGTATGAAGAGATCATTAAGAACCACTCACATATGAAAGGAGTTGCTATGGAAGATCATGACCTAAAAGATAAACTTCCAGTTCATATTATTCTCGGGGCGAGTGAGTTTGCGAAGCTGAAGACAGAGAAACCTCCTAGAGTTGGTCTTCCAGGTCAACCTGTAGCCGAGTTGACTCGGTTCGGTTGGACTGTTATGTCCCCAGGCAAGGAATCCGTGGATGTGTCAAGTATGCTTCTAGCTCATACATCTCAAGCTGACTATGAAGAACTATGTCGGCTTGACGTCTTGGGCTTAGAAGATAGACCAACCAACAGCCAGAGTATTGTCTACGATGAGTTCAAGGAGCAACTTACTCGGGATGAAACTGGACGATATGAGACAGGGTTACCATGGCGTGGAAACCATTCCCCATTACCAAACAATCGAGCTAGCAGCTAACGTCGCCTGGCAGGTTTGACAAGTAGACTTGATCGTGCGGGACTGAGGTCTAAGTATAACCTAACTCTGGAGGAGCAAAAGACAGAAGGGATTATTGAAAGTGTGAGCAATCCCAGCGAAGGTAGAGAGTTTTGTATCCCCCACAGACCAGTGCTGCGAACTTCTGCGGAATCAACGAAGCTCAGGATTGTCTATGATGCATCGGCTAGAGCTCATAACGCAGCGCCTTCACTTAATGAATGTTTAAACCCAGGGCCCAGTCTGACGAATAAACTTTGGAATGTATTAGTCAGAAGACGCTTTCACCTGGTAGCATTGAATGGTGATTTACAGAAAGCGTTCCATCAGATTCGAGTGAGGGGACCCGATCGTGATGCTCTCCGCTTCCATTGGCAGACGGACGGACAGTCTGACGTTGAAATTTTTAGATTTGCTAGAGTGCCTTTTGGTCTAGCTCCCTCCCCATTCTTGCTGGGGGGAGTTCTTGACATGCATTTGAGCACCTGGGAGGACCGAGAACCGGACATCGTAGCTAAACTTCGAGATGAACTGTACGTTGATGACCTGATCTCCGGATCTACAACAGTGGCGGAAGCTCGTGAGTTCAAAGAGAAGATAACAGAAATGTTTAAAGAGGGCTGTTTTAACCTTCACAAATGACATTCAAATGATCAAAATTTAGAGTCGGAAGATCTGCCAGAAGGAGAATTTACTTATGCAAAACAACAGTTGGGGACTACCTATGGGGGAGGCTGCAAACTACTTGGTCTCGAATGGTCAAAAGAGTCAGATACACTTCATGTAACCCTATCAACAGAAGAGACCGTGAAAACGAAACGAGGTATTTTAGCTAAGCTTGCTAAAATATATGACCCACTGGGATTCATTACACCATTACCGTTGCGAGGTAAGCTGATATACCGGTCCACATGTGATGCGAAGATAGCCTGGGATGCTCCAATGCCTGATAATCTGATCAAAGAGTGGAATCAGTGGGAGAATGGTCTGCCGGTTGATGTCGAAGTGCCAAGATCGTTAGTAGTCCATAGAGAGCCAATCGAAAGCATCAAGCTACATTCGTTTGTAGACGCCAGCAAAAACGGGGTAGCAGCGTGTGTGTATGCAGTCGTGGAGCAGGCATCGGGCACAAACCAAGGCTTGGTAGCAGCAAGAGCTAGACTACCGAAGAAAGAACTAACAATCCCGCGTTTAGAGTTGGTGGCAGCACATATGGCCGCCAACCTGGTAGTGAATGTAAGCGAAGTGTTGAATGGATTTCCTGTTGAAAGTAGTTATTATTGGTCTGACAGCACAGTGGTTTTACACTGGATCAAGGGAAATGGGGATTATAAACAATTCATGGCTAATCGTGTCAACAAGATCAATGACCACCAAGATCTGATTTGGAGACATGTACCAACGAGTGATAACCCGGCGGATCGTGCAAGCAGAGCTGGTGACTTAAGTGATGCAGAGCTGTGGTGGCGGGGATCAAATTGGCTAAAGGACCCTGAACGTTGGCCAGATGATATTGTGCCTCAACCCACTGTTGAAAGTAATGCTGAAGCGAAACTAGTGAAAAGTGTTCTTGCTGTTGCGGTGAATGATGGTAATGAAGCTGATGAAGTCTTAAAGAAGTTTCCCTTGCAGAAAGCTCTTCGTGTGTGTGCTTGGATGCGAAGATTTGCAAACAATGCTCTTCATAAAAGAGGACGATCCCGCGTCATAGGATCGTTGACCACTAGTGAACTTGCCCGCCAGCGTCAGTTCTACATTAAGAGAGCTCAGGAAAATTGTGACCTTGAGATCGATCGAGTGGCTTTGAACTTACAACCTGGCAAAGACAAGCTGTTAGAATGCCGCGGACGTATTCAAGGAAAGTATCCACTTTATGTCCCTGACCATCATCTCATTTCACAGAGAATCGTCGAGGAAGCACATCAACACACATTACATGGCGGAGTTGGTTTAACAATGGGCCACGTTCGTGCACGTTATTGGATTCCCCGGCTAAGGCAGCTCGTAAAGAAAGTTAGGAAACGTTGTTATGGATGCAAGAGGTTGACAGCTACTGCATATGCCACACCCCCACCCGGTATCTTACCCACCACACGCACTGAAGGAAAGAATGCTTACCAGGTGATAGGCGTAGATTTTGCTGGACCCATACAATATCGAACAGCTAAGAAACGAGAAGGAAAGGCATATATTCTTCTGTACGCCTGTAGTTTAACCAGAGGTGTTATGATTGATCTTCTACCCAACCTGACAACAGCAGAATTCTTGTTGAGCCTCAAGCGGTTTGTGGCACGAAGAGGAAGACCCGAAAGAATATATTCCGACAACGGTGGTACTTTTGTCGCGGCAGCAAAGTGGATCCGAATGGTGATGTATGACGAAAGGTTCCAAGACTATTTGGGCAAGCAACAGATACGGTGGCAGTTCAACCTCAGCCGCGCCCCTTGGTGGGGCGGACAATTTGAACGCATTGTAGGACTGGTAAAATCCGCTCTCAGAAAATGCATCGGAAACGGCATGCTGAGATGGAAAGAGTTGGAAGAGGTTCTCCTAGATGTCGAGGTAACATTGAACAATCGACCTCTAACCTATGTTGAAGATGACTTGCAATTTCCCGTATTAACTCCCAACTCCATGCTGTTCGCAAATAGCAACATTCTGCCCGAAATGGAACCGCACCATCTCGAAGATGGTAATTTACGAGGTCGTGCCAAGCATCTTTTGAAGTGCAAAACCGCAGTATGGAAAAGATAGTCAAATGAATACTTGAGGAGTTTGCGTGAGAGACACCGTACGAAGAAGACCAAACGTGGATTTACACCAAAAGTTGGAGATGTTGTCATCATTGCAGATGATGAAAAGAAACGAGGAAAATGGTCGTTAGGTGTAGTCGAAGAACTAGTTGCTGGGAAAGATGGAGAAGTAAGAGTTGCGAAAGTCCGCAGTAAAAAGTCTCATCTTGAACGAGCAGTTCAACAACTGTATCCATTAAACGGGGGGAGACAAAGGTTGTTTTGTCAATGTTCAATAACTTTGTAATATTAGCTGGAATGGTCTCAAGGGTTTTGTCCAAGATTGTAGCTAGAAAAAAAGCATACCTTGCAACTAGAACTAAAAATAGTTGTAACTCAATCGCTGCCAATTGCTGCATACTACCATATGGTGAAAATAAGGACTCAACCGGTACCGCAAATGGAATTTTTAATGATTCGTTATTTTTAATATAGTGAGATGCGGGCGACTATACAGCAGGTTACGACTTGCTTCGTGTAAAAGGAATAACAGTATACTATATTCAATAACATTTCCCACTTCAATTTCTTCTTTACCGTAACATTTTCTTTTGTGTCGAAGTCATTAGTTCCAACCTAGTTCAGGAAACAAAGAAAATTGCTTCGCTACAGCACGATGTGGTTGAAGTGTTTCTTATACATTGTTACGTCATCACACTCTTCGCGCTATATCCTGAGAACTAATTTGTCATTCATTTGGACATACTGTTCACACTACGTCGGAGCAGTTGGAAAACGGCGCGGAAAAGTCACAATTAGCCGTTGCGTTCACACTATGCAGGAGCGAAATTGTTTAAAAACGTCATTACCTAGTTTACATTTGGAGCACGGTTTCTACACAGGGCGAGAAGAACGCGGAGCACTTATGGCGACTTCGTGTCAACAGGTACCGTCTTTATCTTGCTTCCCTTTAGGATTTTTTATTTATTTTTTACTTCAGCAATTTTTTATGATCTTTCTGTTATTATTTAGTTCTATTTCTTATTTTTTTTTCATTATTTATGCTCAATTTGCGAATCCGCACCGAAACCCTAAGGCCTTGTGTATAGTTTCTACGGACGTAAAACGTGCCGTTTTTATTTCGCTTCGGCCTAATCTGTGTGAACGTATTCTAAATAAATGAAAATATTTTTGTGGGTAAATGTGCCGTTACAGTGTGAAAGTTTCAAACTAAATTGGGATTTTCCAAAGTACGAAATTTCGCGTATTTGTTTTAAATTATGCGGAATTTTTCTTTTTTTCCGCAAAATCTTGATGCTTTCCCAAAATATGTGCAAAAATAAAAAAAGCTTGCGCAAAAATTGACGTAAAAATCAAGCCGTGCGGAATTTCTTTCAATACTACATTCGCAAAAACTGGTTAAAAATATTATAAGCGAAAAAATTCGCATTTGTTAGCGCATATTCCATATTTTAAAGTAAATTTTGCGTCCGATTACAAATATCCGCAGAAAACAGGAAATTAACCAGAAAATGTTGACTCCACAGCGCAAATATCGGTTTGGCTGTCGGATTATACGGAATCTTTGTATTCTACTATTTCTTCCGCCAAAACGTGATAAAAGACAAGGTTTAAGTATAAGATTCTCTAAATTAATAAAAGACAACAGAATATTGATCATTGGAAGCTATATAAAAGGGTTTAGAATTTCTGAACCCTGAAAATCTGAAATCAATGAACATAAGCGGAATTTTTACGGTGCATGAGAAAGCTAAAAGGGGTTCAGAAATTCTGAACCCAGAAAATCTGAAATCAATGAACATAAGCGGAAAATTTACGGTGAAGAAAGCTAAAAGAGGTTCAGAATTTCTGAGCCCTGAAAATCTGAAATCAATGAACATAAGCGGAATATTTACGGCTAAGAAAACTAAAAGGGGTTCAGTATTTCTGAACCCTGAAAATCTGAAGTCAATTAGTATAAGCGGAATATTTAGGGCGAAGAAAGCTAAAAGGGTTCAGAATAGGGGTTCAGAATTTCTGAACCCTGAATGAATCTAAAATCAATGTCAATGAACATAATCGGAATATTTACGGCGAAGAAAACTAAAAGGGGTTCAAAATTTCTGAACCCTGAAAATCTGAAACAACCAACTTTACGGACAAATTGACGGCGTGTCTATGGGTTCGCCTTTAGGTCCTACTCTTGGAATATTTATATAAGCGGAAACTCTGAAATAAATGGCAATGTCAATGCATGAACATAACTCATAAGCGGGATGTTTACGCCGAAGAATTAAACACGTTCTAGCAGTTCTACAATAGAGTTGCATATTCTATTTTGATAAAATCTTATACGATATTTGAGGAAGAATTTGCAATGAATGTTGAAAATTTTGGAAAAAGCTTGCCAAAAATTGTGTTACGATATTTTCAAATATTCGATTCCTTTTATACAAGAAATTTTAAACCAAGCATTTAGATCGACAAAGCCGTCAAATGTCTATTTCTACTGCATTCCATGCAAAAAGTCTGGCTGACTTTTTTTAAGAATATATGATTATAATTTTCAATAATAATGGCCAGAAATTTAATGGTAATATTATGCACAATATAATTCGGGCATTTTATGTGAAATTAGCAAACTTTTATAAAACTCTGGATACATTTGTAGACTAGCATTCTAAAGATCGACGTTCATGATTGGTAAATTATCCAATCTTTTGTGGGAAAATACATTACTATAATATTAATAAAGGCGAAATAGGAGTTTGGTTCATAATCATAAACTTTATATCACGAGGTATATTACTTACTTATCGTCAAGTTTCATAGATAGCAGAGCTATTAATTATACTGTATAGGTTGTTCGTGTAGGATGGTCGATAGGCTATTGGCGTATTGCTATAGTGTCGGGGTGCTATCTTTTAAATTTTTGGTCAGCAGGGATGAAACGTTCTGAACTTGGGCCTTGCCCTTGGCCCTATAAATGCGGTTTATAAATGTATGATCAGACACTAGCTGGAATATAGTATTACAGTCAGAGTTTATTATGTATCTACGTAGTCAATTCTTTACCTTGGGGCGATGAATGATGGTGGGTCAATAATAAACCCGATGGTTTAATTTATAAGGTTAAAAGCAAGACAAGGTTTGATCATTTATCAATTTCCTATAACTGTGAGATAATAGTGAAAAAATTTAAATATATTTTATTAATTAACGAGTTATTCAATTTGCGCTGATTTGCAGATCGCATTCGAACGCACAAACATCAGTTCCTAGGCTAGCCTATAGTATCAAATATCGTCATAACTCTGCGCAAGTAGACACAGTATTACATACGCAGCCTGTAAATAATTGCTATACATAAATATAGTAATAATTATATCATGTAGCCAATTCACTTAATATATCCAAGTAGTGCCAACAATAACAAGCTTTCGTTCGACGTAGGGATGCCATTACCTGAAAATATGAAGAGAATTTCGACGTTTCGAGCGGCCTTCGCTCAATACGTCGACCTTCTCCTTTAGCTTCATATATTTTCGGATAGTTGCATCCTACCAACGAAAGCTTGTTATAAGGTTCTAGAAGCTACTATATAATTGAAAATTTACTCTCTGGCTTCTGTATTTGAACGTTGCGAATTCATGTTGTTGACATATATGATACGGCAACACTCTAATGCAGGTGCACGACTTCTGGTGTTATCATTTGGAACAGTTTGTCGCTCTGAATATAAGTTATAAACCATTTGCCGAGCGGAATGAGGAATCAGCAATAACGAATATAATTCATAATCTAAAGAGCAAATACAGTACTATTGTTCCCAGTAAACTGCGAAACGACCGTTTTTTTAGGCGCTTTGTCAGCGACAGTTTTGTCAATTACGAAGGACATATTTGTGTACCTCGTGATCACAATTCGTTGCAAGCGGCGTGTGAAAAACTGCAAGTTTCAGTTTGACAATTCTGACAGTTAAATGGTTTCTAATTTTATTGTCCAATCAGATGCGTAGTTTTGAATTTTAAATCAAAACTACGCATCTGATTGGACAATAAAATT